CTAGTGTGGAACTCAATTGCATACAGTGGAGTACAAAGTTTAACAGTGTCTTTAACATTTCACCCATGAAATATTTCTTTACCAAACCTCTTTCAAATTATTACCAACATCAGGGGGAACAAAAAGAGTCCAATCATGATAGGGAACCGTTGAACTATCACCTATTCATACCATGTTAACCATGTTAATATGCCTGCTCCCGTGAACTGTTATGTTAACAGTCAATGGCCATCAACGTAAACTGTACTTTATCTGAGAGAGAGGTGAATATGTTGTAATTTATGTCTATTAAAGGTCTCCAAACATATGTATGAATGGATTTGGATAGATCTTTGTGGCCTTTCTTTGTTCAAGATTCAAGATTCAAGATTTTTATTTGTCACATACATGGTTATATAGAGAATATATGACCAGCAGTGAAATGTAAGTCAGGTCCGCTCCATGGACAGCGCAATTATTAAAGAATACAAACACAAGAAAAATATATATATAAATATAGGTATGAAAAAAAAAAAAGATTAAAAAAAAAAAGAATAAAATAAAATGTGCAGGACAGGAATGTACAAGAGAAGAATGTGCAAACAGGTTGTACAGGGTAGTTCGATAGCAGCAATAGAGTTAAAAAAGTAAATAAATAAAATATAACAGAAATTGCTGTGTGCAAGTGGCAATGTCAGTATATTAAGTGTCTTACTGATAATTAAGTGAAGTCATGTTGGTGTTAAGAGACTGAGTTTGAGTTTAGGAGCCTGATGGCCTGGGGGAAGAAGCTCCTCCTAAGTCTCTCGGTTTTTGCCATCAGGCTACGAAGCGCTTACCAGATGGCAGCAAAATGAAAAGACAGTTACCAGGGTGGTTGGAGTCCTTGATGATTTTAGCAGCTCTGCTTTTGCAGCGTTTGAGGTAGATGTCCTGTAGAGAGGGGAGAGCAGACCCTGAGATGCGCTCAGCTAAGCGCACAACTCTCTGCAGGGCTTTGCAGTCTTGACTGGAGCTGTTCCCATACCACACTGAGATACACTGAGTCAATACACTTTCTATGGCCCCTGAATAGAAAGTTTTCAGGATTGCTGGCGAAACCCTGAATTTTCTCAGCTGTCGCAGATGGTACAGTCTTTGCCTGGCTTTAATAACCTGAGTTTGGATGTGTGAAGTCCAAGTCAGGTCCTC